GCAGCAGCCACTGCAACAGCAGCAGCTGCTGCTGCTGCAGCAGCTGCAGCAGCACCAACCCCAGTCCATCGGTTCTTGCTGCTGCACCTTATGCATTGCTGCATGCACTCTATATTTATTTGATTTATTTAATTAAATTAAATTAATTAAATTAAATTAGTTAAATTAAACTAAATTAAATTAAACTAATTCTTTTTTCTTTCAGACTCTCGCCTGCTGCCCACCCCCTGCTGCCGCCTGGAGGCCCACCACGCTGCTGCCACTCAAGTTTGCTTCTTATCCCTGCAGCAGCAGCAGCAACAGCAGCAGCAGCAGCAGCAGAAGCAGCGGCAGGTGAAGCAGAAGCAGCGGCAGCGGGTCAAGCAGCAGCGCCAGCAGCAGCAGCAGCAGCAGCGCGAGTTGCTGCTGAGCTGCGGCGACGACAAGCAGCTGAGTCTCTTTTCTGTAGCAGCAAACCGGAAGCTGCTGCTGCTGCAGCAGCACTTGCTGCCAGCAAAGCCCAACGCGCTTAAGGCAAGCCAGGCCTGCTGCTGCAGCTGCAGCAGCAGCAGCAGCAGCAGCAGCTGCTGCTGCTGCTGCTGCAGCAGTTCGAGGCTCGCGGAAAGCGTGCGTGTTTTCGTCGGCGACGTTACCCCTGACATCAAACTCATTGATTTGCGGCTCTAAACCCTAAACCCTAAACCCTAAACCCTAAACCCTAAACCCTAGTTTTAGCAAGGCGCTGTTGGGCGCGGCCTTTGGAAAGGCTGAACCCTCGCTCTCGCCTTCAGCTGCTGGCCCTTTGTAAACCCTAAACCCTAAACCCTAAACCCTAATTTAGATTTCAAGCATTAGGGTTAAGATAAATCTTCAGAGGCTGTAAGGTCAGTCAAGCCTCTGCGCGCAAACCAAACTCCAGCAGCCGCAGCCGCTGCTGCTGCTGTTGCTGCTGCTGCTGCTGTTGCTGCTGCTGCCGCTGCTCTTGCATCCCGCTTCGCCGTGGCTCCGGCAATATCCAGCTGCAGCAGCAGCAGCAGCAGCTGCTGCTGCTGCTACTGCTCTTGCGTCCCTCCTCGCCGTGGCCCCGGCGACTTCCAGCTTCTGCTGCAGCTGCTCCTGCTGCTGCTTCTGCTGCTGCTGCTGCTTCTGCTGCTGCTGCTCTAGTGTCCCACCTCGCAGAGAGCCCAGCATTCTGCGGCCGCTGCTTCTCCCTCTCACCTTCACTCCCGCCGCCTCCCCCGCCGCTGCTGCTGCCGCTGCTGCTGCTGCTGCTGCTGCTGCTGCTCATTTGTTGTCGAAGAGGCGTTTGCCTGCGTTGGAGGCCAAGTCGGGAAGCTCGCGAAAGACAAGAGCTTCTTCTTGGTCTCCAATGTGGTTCAAAGTCACGTACACATCTGTCCCTATTCCGAAGTGCGTCTGCGCAGCAGCAGCAGCAGCAGCAGCAGCAGCAGCAGCACGCACAACCCTGCTGCTGCTGCGGCGGCGGCGGTGCAGCTGGCGGCCGCTGTGGTGCTTGCTGTTGCTGCTGCTGCTGCTGCTACTGCTACTGTTGTCGTAGTGATCCTGCTGCTGCTGCTCTTGCTGCTACCACTGCTGCTGCTGCTGCTGCTGCTCGTGCTGCTAGTGCATATCCTGCTTCTGCTAGTGCTGCTAGGGCTCCTGCTCCTGCTGCCAATGCTACTGCTGCTCCTGCTGCTGCTGCTTCTGCTAGAGTAACTGCTGCTGCTGCTAATGCTACAGCTACTGCTGCTGCTGCTGTTGCTGCTGCTGCTAGAATTACTGCTGCTGCTGCTGCTGCTGCTGTTACCTGGACATGAATATCACCTCCGAAGTAACGCGCGAAGGCCCGAGAAAGCGGCAGACCAAAACCTAAACAAATAAAATAAGTAAATAAATAAAATAAAATAAAATAAAATAAATTAAATTAATTAAATTAATTAAATTAAATAATAAATAAATAAATAAATATTTTCTTTTCTTCCCTTGCCCCAACAAACTTCTCCTTGCCGCCTCTCACAGCCCTTCCACGAAACAAACAAAAAGCAACTAATTAATTAAACAACTAATTTATTTCTTATTTGTTTATTTATTCTTTATTTATTTATTTATTTATTTATTTATTTATTTGTTTATTTATTTATTTATTTATTTATTTACCATATCCCGCCATGTCGGGGCGGACGAAGTTGGGGGCGAGGGAAAGCGACTTTTCGAAAATGCGGCTGTTGGACTCCGCGACAGTGCTGTATCTGAAAACAAAACAGTAAATTAATTAATTTAATTAATTCAATTTAATTAATTTAATTTAATTAACTTAATTTAACTTAATTCATTTAATTTGTTTTGTTTGTTTTGTTCTTTTTGTTTCGTTTCGTTTGGTGGGTTTTACGCCGCGCGCTTTGCTGGAAGTTTGGAGGCGGTTTTCTGCTTTTAAAAACACTTTTATTTTATTTTATTTTATTTTATTTTATTTATTTATTTTGTTTATTTTGTTTGTTTCTTCTTTTATTTAATTAAGTAATCATTAATTTGTTTATTTGATTTGTTGATTTGTTTATTTATTTATTGCTTTATTATTTGTGCATTTGTTTATTCACTTGCTCATTTATTTGTTTTATCTTTTGAATCTTTCGATTTCGTTCTTTTGTCTTCTGTTTTATTTATTCTTTTAACTTTTATTCATTTCTTTTTGTCCTTCCATTCTTTTAATTAATTCAATAAAAATAAAAATAATAAAAATTAAATTAAATTGTTTTTATTTTTATTTTTATTTTTTATCTTTAATTCCTTTTACCCGAAGCTCCACATCGCTTGCAGCTTGTGGGGAGGAACACCGCCACCTAAAACAAAATAAATAAATAAATAAATAAATAAATAAATAAATAAATAAATAAATAAATAAAATAAACAAATAATTAAAAATAAATAAATAAATAAATGAATAAATAAAATAAATGGGTAAATAAATAAATAAATAAGCAAATAAACAAACAAATAGATAAATAAATAAATGAATAAAGTAATTAATTAACACAAAAAATTAAAAATAAAAAATGGAAAATAAAGTGGATGAAATGAATTCTAATTTGTTTGGCGCCTCGGGCCCTTCAAATCTTCCAAACGAAATAATTCATTTCTTTTATTTATTTTTATTTCTTTCTTTTAATTGATTAATTAATTTATTTTATTAATCTGTTTATTTAATTATTTATTTAATTAATTTAATTAATTAATTAATTAATTAATTAATTATTTATTTATTTATTTATTTACCTTTGTCTGAGACTTTGATAACAACTTCTTTTTTGCCTTTGTAAACTTCCACCCGCACCTTCGGCAAATCCTCGTCGTCAGATATCAAACCAACTGCAGCAGCAGCAGCAGCAGCAGCAGCAGCAGCAGCAGTAGCAGCAGCAGCAGCAGGATCGCAAAGAGGCAAATGAGGGCCAAAAAGCGCCACAAAAGAGGCACGCTAGAAGCAGCAAAAAGCAGACAAAAAGGAGACAAAAGGAGACGAAAAAGCTTCTGAAAAGTTGCGAAAAGTTTCCAAAAAGTTTCAAAAAGCTTCAAAAAAAGAAAATAAAATACTTTTCGTGGTGGAGTCCAGGAGGGAATTTCCCAAAGTGTAAAACTCGACGGTCGCCCTCAGCGCGTTTTTCAAAACTTCGGTGATGATCAGCGCGAGGTGTTCGGGGATTGTGGCGAACTCCGTTTCCAGGTTTCCTGAAGAGGAAAAAGGAGAAATAAATTAAACAAAAGACAAAAATTGAAACTGCAACGGAGGCGCACAAATGAGAAGATTCAAATCCAGAAAAAACGAAAAAGAATGACCCAAAATGACCCCAGAAACAACGCAGCAAACCCTAACCCAAGCAGCAGCAGCAGCAGCAGCAGCAGCAGCAGCAGCAGCAGCGCCATTGCCATTATCCCACCGCCTTAACCACCACGATCCCCACCACCCGATCAGCAGCAGCAGCAGCACCGTCTCCACCATCACATCACCAGCAGCAGCAGCAGCAGCAGCAGCACTGCAGCAGCAGCAGCAGCAGCACTGCAGCAGCAGCAGCAGCAGCACTGCAGCAGCAGCAGCAGCAGCAGCAGCAGCAGCAGACCGGCGACGACGACGAGGGGGGCAATGCCGTAGGAGAACTTGCAAGAGTCCCGGACCTCCTGGGCCCTCGCCATTATCACTTCCGCCGGCCTGCAGCGGGGATTCACTATGCCGCACCACCCCGGCTGCAGCAGCAGCAGCAGCAGCAGCAGCAGCAGCAGATGTGCCGGCAGCGGCAGCGGCGAAGGTGGCAGCAGCAGCAGCGGCAGCAGCAACGGTAGCAGCGGCAGCAGCAAAGGCAGCAGCCGCAGCGGCAGCAAAGGTAGCAGCAGCAGCAGCAGCAGCACAAAGGTAGAAGCAGCAGCAAGGGGAGTAGCAGCAGCAAGGGCAGCAACAGCAGTAAAGGCCCCAGCAGCAAACGCACTCGCAGCAACAGCAGCAAGGGCAGCAACAGCAGCAAGGGCAGTAGCAGCAGCAAGGGCAGTAGCAGCAACAAGCGCAGCAGCAAAGGTAGTAGAAGCAGCAGCAATCGCAGCAGCAAAGGCAGCAGAAGCAGCAGCAGCAAAGAAAGTAGCAGCAGCAGCAGCAGCAGCAGCAGCAAAGGCAGTTGCAGCAGCAGAAGTAAATGAGAAGAATAAATAAAATAAGTAAATTGAAAGAAATGAAAAAGAAAAGGAAATTAAAAACAAAAAACAACAATGAAATTGAAAGCAAAATACCAAAAGAGAAAAAAACAGTTAATTTAATTATTAATATAAATAAATTACAAAATTATAAAATCAAATAATTAATCAAATAGCCAATCAATGAATCAACTAATTAATCAATTAATTGGTTTGTAGATTGATCAATTAATTAAATAATAAATAAATAAATAGATAAATAAACAAACAAATAAATAAATTAGTTAATTAATTAATTAATTAATTAAAATAATAAATAAACGGGCATTTAAAACAAACAAAAAAACAAGTAAACAAATGAAAGCCAACTGGGGAAATAAAAACAAATAAAACAAATTTGGTGATGAAGTAAATCAAATAAATTAAATTAATTAAATAATTAAATTAAATAAATTAAATAACCAAATAAATAAATTGAATAATTAAATAATTAAATAATTAAATTAAATATATTAAATAACTTAAATAAGTTAAATAAATTAAATAAATTGAATAATTAAATAATAAACAAATAACAATTCAACAACAGAAAGTCTTTCCAAAACGAAAGCAAAAAGTGAAATAACTAAACAACCAAAACAGATAAAAAGATAAAAAAGGCCAAAATAAAATAAAATAAAATAAAATAAAATAAAATAATAAATAATATAAAATAAAATAGATAATATAAAATAAATAAGATAAAATAAAATAAAACAATTAATTAACTAATTAACCTTAGGGTTTTCTTCCAATTCTGAAATTAAAATGTTTTCCAAAAGAAAATAGAAAAAACCAAATATAACAGATAAAAAGATGAAAAAAGATGGAACAAAACAAAATAAAATAAATAATATGAATTAATAAATAAATAAATAAATACATAAATAAATAATTAATTAACCTTAGGGTTTTGCATTGCAAAAACATTATTAACCATTACTCTTCTTCCAATTCAAAAAGAGAAAATCTTTTCAAAAAAGAGTCAAAAGAAACAAATATAACAGATAAAAGGATGAAACAAAAAGCAAATAAAACAAAACAAAATAAATAAAACAAATATTTACTTATTTATTTGTTTATTTACCTTGGGGTTTTGCATTGCAAGGAGGTTATTAACCATAACTCTTCTTCCAATTCGGAAATAAAAAAATCTTTCCAAAAAAGAGTCAAAAGAAACATCCAAAGAAAGTCTTTTGAGCTGCTGCAGCGCGCGGCCTAACAAGTCCACGCTGCTGTCGTGCTGCTGCCGCTCCTGCTCCAGCAACCTGCAAACCCTCAGGGTTTAGGGTTTAGGGTTTAGGGTTTGGGGTTTGGGGGGAGGGGCGAGGGTTTACGGGAGGCCGGGGCGCGTCTTCTTCGAACGAGGGTTTAGGGTTTAGGGTTTAGGGGGGAGGGAAGGGGAGAGACGGTCTTCTCCGGTGAAGGGTTTAGGGTTTAGGGTTTAGGGTTTAGGGACGGGGAGGGACGGGCTGTCCGTGTGCGGCGAGGGTTTAGGGTTTAGGGTTTAGGGTTTGCGTCCGTGGTGGGAGGCGCGTTTTGGGCGTTTCGGGCACTGGAGGGCGGGCTAGGGTTTAGGGTTTAGGGTTTAGGGTTTGGGGCGGGCGGACTTGACGAAGGGCGCCAGTTGCTCGTGGTTTGTTATGGGTTTTTGCTGCTTGAGGGTTTGGAAAGTGTTTAAATATAATTCATAAACCCTTTTGAATTGGGGGCAGCAGAAGCAGCAAAAAGGGAGTCTGTGGAAGTCAAACAGCCGGTGCGCCAGCCGCACCGGCAGCTCCGACCGCACCCACTCCGCCCTGCGCGCAAACCCTAATTTAGGGTTTAGGGTTTAGGGTTTAGGGTTTGCCTTTAGCGGCGGGGGGCGGGTTGCTTCTGTGGGCGGGACGGCGTGGCGAGGGTTTTGGGGGAGGCGGCTTTGGGGGAGGAGGCGTTGGGGTTTAGGGTTTAGGGTTTAGGGTTTAGGGTTTGGGGAATTAGGGTTTGGCGAGGTCAGGGTTTGGAGAGGGGAGGGTTCACAGCCAGGAGGGCCTAGATGAGGGTTTCGAGAAATGAGGCTTTACAGCAAGAGAAGGGTTTAGGGTTTAGGGTTTAGGGTTTAGAATGAGGGTCTAGAAAAAGCAAAACGACTCAAGACGAAATAAAAAACCAAACCAAACCAAACCAAGACAAAACAAAACAAAACAAAATATGACAAAACAAAATAAAATAAAGTTGAATTGATCAAATTAATTAATTAAATTAAATTTAATTAATTTAATTAATTTAATTAAATTAAATTAATTAAAAAAAACTGACGTTTTGACTCTGTCTTCAGCGCTTTGGTTCTGCAGCCGCAAAAGCCTTTTGAGGGTCATGGGCCGAATTGGTTTGCTGCTGCTCTTTTCGATTTCTTGAATAACATGCCACGAAGCAATGCTGCTGCTGCTGCTGCTGCTGCTGCTGCTGCTGCTGCTGCTGGGGCTGGGGCCGGTGCCGGCGGCGCTGCTGCTGTGGGTGGGCTTGGAGCTGCTGCAGCACCGTTGCTGCTGCTGCTGCTGCGGCTGCTGCAGCAGCAGCAGCGGGCGCGGGCTAGCTGCGCCGCAAGAGCGCCGGGTTCCTGCTGCTGCTGCTGCTGCTCCTGCTGCTGCTGCTGTGGCTCCGGCTGCTGCTGCTGCTGCTGCTGCTGCTGTTGCTGGCAGCCGCGTGGCCTGGGGCGGCCACCAGCAAGAGCCGAGAAGGCTCTGCAGCAGTTTGCTGCTTCCTTGCTGCTGCAGCATCAGCAGAAACAGCCGGGAGAAAGAGTTATAATAAAGACTGTTTTGTTCAATTAGAAAGTTTTCTTTTTTTGCTTTTTGGATATTAGTTTAATTCATTATTGTCTATTCATCTTGCTGCTGAAGAAGCCGCAGCAGCAACAGCAGCAGCAGACAAGGCGCTGCCGTGCCGGCAGAGAAGGCTCTTGCTGCGCTGCAGCAGCAAACAAAAGGAACAGTAAAGTACTTATTTAATTTAACTCTTTTTATTATTTATTTTATATCGCGCACACAAAATCCCGTAAACAACGCCAGTAGCAGCAGCAGCAGCAGCTGCTGCTGCTGCTGCTGCTGCTTGTGTCGGCGTTGCTGCTTTTGCTGCTGCTGCCGCTGCTGCAGCAGCAAATTGTTTGTAATCCGCGGGTCTTTGATTATTTGTACTTTTAATTGAAATGAAATAATAAAAATGGAAAGAGAGAAGAAATAATTTAAAGGCGGCAGCAGGCAGCGAGCGGGCACTCGGGTGTCTGGACAGCACGGAAGAAGAAAGCGGAGGAAGCAAGCTCGATCCAAAGGCCGGAAAAGGCGAATTTGTGCGCGAAATTGCGCAAATAAATAAACAAATGAATAAAAATAAAACAAAGGAATAAAAAAGTGGAGAAATAAGGGGAATAAATAGCCAAAAAAAGCGAAAAAGCGACGAAGACAGTCGCTGGCTCAAGTCTGCGGCGCGGAGGCGAGGCTCCTGCAAACTCCTTAATTTTAACCTTTTTCTTCTTTTTTTGATTTATTTTTCATCTTTATTTCATTTCCAATTCATTTCTCTTTTTTATTTTCCATTTAAAGCCCTTTTCGCTTCTCTCCGCGGCTTTTTAGCCGCTGCCTTCGCCCGCTGCCTCACTGCCATAGTGTGCCTCCCCATCATTTTCCAGCTTTTGTCCATTTATTTATTTATTTATTCATTTATTTATTTATTTATTCATTTAATTTTTATCTTTTGTTTTTATTATTTATTGTTTAATTACTCTTTTGCTCCTTCCTTTATTTGTGAACTTCGCAGCTTTTGCTCGCCACACACAAGCACGATTTTTCAGGAAACAAATAAATCCACAGTAAACAAATAAATGGTAAATAAATAAATAAACAAATAAATAAATAAACAAATAAATAAATAAATAAAATTAAAATTAATGATAAATAAAGTTAAAATTAAATAAATAAAATTAATTCGGAGAGAAATGATTGCTGTGTCTGGACAAGAGGGAAAGAGATGCGTGCAAAACGAAAAAATAGATCTGCAGGCAGTTTGCTGTTGTTGCTGCTGCAGCAGCAGCAGCAACAGCAGCAGCAGCAAAAGCAGCAGCAGCAGCATCAGCAGCTGCTGCTGCTGCTGCAGCAGGAACAACTCGCTAACAGCGGCAGCTATAGATTTTGCTGCTGCTTTGTCGTTGCCGCTGCTGCAGCTGCCGCTTTTGCCGCAGCAGCTGCTGCGAAGCCAGCCCCCACTGCTGCTGCTGCTGCTGCTGCCGCTGCTGCCGCTGCTGCTGCTGCTGCTGCTGCTGCTGCTGCTAGTCGTCAACTCCTCGGAAAGAAATGCTGAGGGCTTCATCAGATCCGTCCCTCCACAACTGCAAGTCTACAAAAACAAAATAAAAAATAAATAAATAAATAAATATTTAATTAATTAGTAAGTATATAAATAAATAAATAATAAATAATATTTAATGAATAAACAAATAATAGATAAACAATAAATGTAAACAAACAAATAAATAAAATAAATGAATAAACGAGAATAACAAAATCAAATAAGATGCAAAAAAGCAAACTGTTGGAAACAAAAAATGAGAAAGAGGAAATAAAATGTATTTAAAGAAAGCAAATTAAAACAAATGAAAGAAATAATAAAGGAAAAATCAGTCAAAATAAACGAATATAAGTAAATAAATAAATAAATAAAAATGAAGAGAAGACTCAAACAAAATTAACAAACTTTCAAAATGGCCATTAAAAAAGGGATTAGAAAAAGAATTCAACAACTAATTAAAACAAATAAAACTCAATTTGATTTTTCTTTATTTTTTAAATTATTTATTTTGCTGTATTCGATCATTTATTCTTTTACTTGAAAGCCCCAAACCCCAAACCCTAAACCCTAAACCCTAAACCCTTCGCGTTCAGCAACACATTGGGCCCCCCAAAAACGCCAAACCCAACAAACTCCTTCTTTGCATTTACTTTAAATAAAATATTATTTATTTATTCATTTATTTATTATCTATGATTTATTATTTATTTATTTGTTTATTTATTTTTATTTTTTATTTTTATTTACAAGTCCTCCACTGATTCTTTTTCGATTCGGAGATTCCCGCGCCCAGAACTTCCGCCGAAGGAAAAAGAGAGGACGGCCAGCCCTGCACCCAAACCCTAAACCCTAAACCCTAAACCCTAAACCCTAAACCCTAAACCCTAATCACTAAACGCTAAACCCTAAACCCTGGATCGCGAGCTGCAGAAAGCAATATGGAGGCCCTGAACCCTCTGCCTCAGGCTCCAACTGACAACAGCCACACCCGAGGCCCCAAACCCTAAACCCTAAACCCTAGACCCTAAACCCTAAACCCTAAACCCTACTATTCCGTTTCTCTGGGCAACCACCATGGTTTCCCCAGTGGAGAAAATAAATTTGTCACCTGAAGCCAAAAAAACAAATAAAATAAAACAAAGTAATGAATTAATTAGTTACAAATAAATAAATTAATTAATTAATTAATTAATAGTGAAAGGGGCAATGAAAAGAAACAACCTAAAGAGGATTAAAAGACAATTAAAAGAGAAATAAATAACAATTAAAAAAATTAAGAAGAGAATAAAAGACGATTAAAAGAAAATTGAAAGATAATAAGAAGAGGCGAAAAATAACTGGAGAATTAAAAGAATTAAAAACCAAAAATAATTAAAAGATTAAAAGGAGTAAAAATGATAAAGAGGCAAAAACATGAATTAAAGAAAATAAAAAGGATTAAAAAAGATTAAAAAAAAGATTTAAAAGAAAAAGAAAAGTGATTAAGAACGAATAAAAAGAATAAAAGGAATAAAACAGATAACAAGGAGAAACAAAAGAGAATGAGAAGAATAAAAAGAAAAAAGTACCTAAAAGAACGAAAGAACAAAAGAATTAGAAATAAATATAAAAGTAAAACCAAATAAAGTAAAATAAATAAAATTAAAAAAATAACACAACATAAATAAAATAAAATCGAATAAAATAAATAGAACAAAATGAACAAAACAAAATAAAATAAAATGAAATGAAATAAACAAAACCAAATTAAAACAAATAAAAAAAACAAATAAAATAAATAAAAAAAAACAAATAAAATAAGTAAAACAAGTAAAATAGGTAAAATAAAACGAATAAAATATGTAAAAGAAATAAATAAAGTAAAATAAATAACATAAATAAAATGAAAAAAAATTACTAGAAAAAATGAAATAAATATATAAAATAAATAAAATAAATAAATAAAATAAATAAAATAAACAAAATAAGTTACTTGAAGCTCCTTTTCCTTCTTCTCTTAACCAGCGGCGTAATTGCCTTTGAGCTGTAGCGACTTCTGCCTTTGAACAAAAACAAAGATGAATAAATAAATGAATAAACAAATAAATAAATAAATAAATAAATAATAAACGTAAATAAATATAATAAATATGAAGAAACAAATGAATAAATAAATAAATAATTTTAAATGATAAATAGTTGAGAAAGGAAACTGAAAAAGCTGCAGAGCAAGGGGGTTCTCAAGCTGGCTGCAGAGAGTGCAAACCCTAAACCCTAAACCCTGAACCTTAAACCCTAATCCATAAACCCTAAACCCTAGACCCTAGGCCCTAAACCCCGAGGCAGGCCAGAAGAAGGTACTGGACGGATTATGTTATTCTGTGTGTGTAGATAGGCTATCAAATACCCGCCTAACCACTGTTTTAGGGTTTAGGGTTTAGGGTTTGTGTGCCAACGCACCTGGCAGTTCGCCGGGGGCTTCTAGGTGAATTCCAAAGCAGCAGAAAGAAAGGAAAGCAATTCATTCAAACCCCTAAACCCTAAACCCTAAACCCTAAACCCGAAGCCCTAGATTCTGAGCGCCAAACCCTAAACTCTAAACCCTAAACCCTACTTACGGGGTTTACAGGGCTGGTTCTGACGAGCAGTTTGCTGCCTCCCTTTTCGAACGAAGCCACTGCACGCGCAGCGTAAAAAAAAGCAAACATTTTGCTGCTGCTGCTGTCGCTGCTGCTGCTGCTGTTGCTGCTGCTGCTGCTGCTGTTGCTGCTTTTAGTCTAGGGTTTTCGAGTCTAGGGTTTTGGGCCGAGAACGTTGAGAGGGTTTTAGGGTTTAAAACTAAATAAATAAATAAAACCGAAGAATGAACAAATGAATTTAATATTAATTAATTAAGTAATTAATTAATTAATTAATATTAAACTAATTTGTTCATTAATTAATTAATTTATTTGATTTTTCTGCAAAGGTAAGAAACGCATGCAGAAGCCAAAAGAAACGAAAATAAAAAAATAAAAAGCACAAAAATAAAAAGCAAAAAAGGAAAAAGAAATGGAAAAGAAAAAGACTTGAGAAAAGGTCCCAATGGACTCAAAAAGGAGAAAAAAGAATTAAAAAAATAAAAAAGAATTAAAACAATAAAAAAGAATTTAAATTACATAAAATACCTTTGGCTCCTTTTTCTTCTAAGGCGCCCCGCACCAGCTGCAGCACTGCCGGGCCATTTTGGCCCACGCAAAGAGCCACAGCCTAAAACAAATGAATAAAAAACAAACAAATAAATAAATAAATAAATAAATAAATAAATAGATTAATCAACTAATTAATTAATTAAATGGTAGTAAATAGACAATTCGCTGGTTATTTGGGTGGTTCGTCAGTTGGGGATTTGCGGAAGAAAATGCAAAAAGAAAATAAATAAAATAAAATAAAATAAAATAAAATAAAATAAATAATTATAATGATAAAAAGAAATGAATAAAGGACAAAATAAATAATTAATTTGTTCTGGCTGTCTAATTGCAAAAACCGGAAGTTCTTCGGGTGTACATACACCCCACAGCAGCAAACGAACCTTTCGCCCCCGGTGGGTAATGCATGCTCCCTGCAGCAGCAGCAGCAGCAGCAACAGCAGCTGCAGCAATGGTAGCAGCACCTGCAGCTGCTGGCGCTGCTGTACTCGCAGTAGCAGCAGCAGCCCCAGCAGCAGTACCCGAAGCAGCAGCAGCAACAGTAACAACGCCAGAGACAGCAGTACCAGCAGCAACATTCGAAGCAGCAGCAGCAGCAGCAATACCAAAGGCAGCAGCAGCAGCAGCAGCACAACTGTAGGGGGGCCAAAAGACCAAATTAAGGGAAAAATGCAAAAAAAGAATTCGAAAAGAAATTAAAAGCTTCTTAAAGAGACAAACAAAATAAAAAATTTAATAAAAGTTGATTTCAATAAATGAAAAAAACTGATGAAGACAATAATTAATAAAAGTTGATTTCAATAAATGATAAAAAACTGATGAAGACAAAAACAGCAAATTCGAAAAAGAAGAAATGCAAAAGAAGAGAAATAAAAGACTTCAGCAATTGAACGGAAGTGGAAACAAAAGAACTAAATTAAAACCATTAAAAATAAGTTAGAAACAAATTAAAATCGATTAAAAATAAATTAAAAACAAATGAAAGATAAATTAAATTGAAATCAAAAATGAAAAAGAAATAATTAGAATACCTTTTGCTTGTAAACCAGCTCCAAGTTAAGTCCCTCTGTGATCAAATTTGTTGCAGGAGCTGCAAAATCCAAAAAGAAAAAAAAGTAAATAAAATAAATAAATAAATAAATGAAATAAATAAAACAAATAAATAAAATAAAGTTAATAAATTTAATTCATGCATGTGAGAAAGAGAAATTAAAAATCTTTCTATTTGGCCTCAAAAACTACAAAATAAGGGCCTCCGCCTCTCTCAAGAAAGTAGGGTTTAGGGTTTAGGGTTTAGGGTTTAGGGTTTAGGGTCATTACCCTGGTTATGGTGCAGCCACTCCCTTATCGACTGTGACACCTTAGCAGGGAGATTTTCCCTGCTACAAGGGCCCCCAGCGACATCCGCCGCCGCTTCGCAGGCGGGGAGGCCCCCGGGGCCTCCCTCGAAGTCGAAGGGCCCTCTCCTGCAGCAGGGGGGCCCCCCTCTGCTGCTGCAGCAGACGCCAAGTAGGCCTGGTACCCTCGGGCCCCCCGTGCTGCTGCTTCGGCGGACAGGGGCCCATCTCCTTCGGTGGTGACTCGCAGCCTCACAGACCCTCCGGGAGCCCCAGGCGCCCCGGGGGCCCCTCCAGGGGCCCCCCCGGGGGCCCCCCCCTCCTGCGGGCCCTCGGGAGAGGCCTCGGGGCTCTCGGGGGCCCCCCCCTCCCCGCCGGGCGGGGAGGCCTCCAGGAAGGCCGCGAGGTCCTCCTCTTCTGCTGCTGCTGCTGCTGCTGCAGC